GCGGAGCTCAAACTTATCATAATAGTGAAAACTCTAGCTGGCAACCTTGTTTTTGCTCAGGCGCACATAGTTGTGCGACCGACCTGCGCAGCTCGAGGCTTCACTTCTGACCCTGTGTTGTGGATGCATTTACTAACGGAAGCTGCCGCTCCAACAGCCTGCTGTGAATTTGATTATGTTGATGGACACTGCTTGTATGCATTCTGGGCTGCTTTACGGGTGACCCGTGGCCTCTGAGTCTCTGTGTTGTTTACTTTTGTACAACTGGACCCTGCTGCGGCGAAGCCCTCAAGAATTCCGGCACTAGCAACCCTGTAGAAATACTAAATCAGTAGACACTGTCGGAACACTGTAGGAATTCTGTCAACCACGCCTTGTTCTTTAAGCGCTGGGAGATCTTGGTCTGCAATCAGATGAGACCTGGCGTGGAATACCGAGCACTGCTTATGTTTGGAAAGAGTGCATGCAAACATATGAAGTAAACTGCACGCTGTCTTGAGTTAACACTATGGCAGGGAAGGCTATGCTTATTAGAGTGACTTGGTACAGACTTACCTCTATGCTGTTGTCGCTGAAGCACATTCCATGCTTTATTTTGGCACCGTGCGCTGTTGCTCCAAAGCTCACCCTCGCACCTTCCACGCGCAGTTTGGGTTATGCTTCTTGGACGAGCTGGCAAACCCTCGCCGAAGTTGCTCACACGAGTCGCAACGACGAGGGTCCTTCCTTGCAAATCCAGGGTAGAGTACGCCTTCAGCGTTAGGTTTACCCTTGTGGTTGGGCGCGGGTTCTCCGGGAGGGATCTCAGGAAAATTCTGTTTGGACCGACGAGGCGCCTTAGCAATCGATTTCTCCTTCGGAGATACCGGTGGAGCTTTGGCTTTGGCTTTCGCTTTAGTTTTGGCCTGCGGGACTGCTTCCTCCTCAGGAGGCTTCAACCCAGGCGAGGCTTTCTCCTTAGGAGGTGTGCCCTTAAAGCTTGCCGAGTCAGTCTCACTCTCACTGTCAGACGATGAACTTCCCAGCAATGAGGATGAAGAAGAACACTCTTCGGACAAAACGCCGTCCATTTCCCGAACCTTGTCTTCCAATTGCCTCAAGGTGGTCTTTTGCTTCTTTACCGTGGCCTGTCGCTTACGCAGCAACTCACGAAGGTCACCTTTCCCGCGGCTGTACTGTGCACGCGCGACGCGAAGGGCTCGCTGGGTTGCATCCAAGCTTGACAGCGGCATGGCGAAACAAAGAGATAGTTCAAGGAAGGACTGTCGTGGGATAGCAGAAACTTGAATGCGGCAGCATATGCGCAAGGCTCACAATCTCAGAGTTGCCTTATAAATCTGAGCTGCATTGCGCGCATTCATGCAATGCGTTGTCTGATTGTTAGAGGCCGGATGCTAAACATGCAAGGAATACCGAGTCGATCTGCTTTGCGTATACCAGCTGAAGCCTCCGAGCACGCGTGGGTTAAATTCCAGCGCTGGCCTATTAAGAAAACCGATAAAAACCCAATAAGCAAAGACTGCGAAAGAATAAAACCACACGAAGAAAGTAATAAGGATTATACGTTCATATGTTCCTTGCTGCGGGTATGTGGCTGCGCTGCTTTCTTGCTAATCGATTTTTGTTAAGTCTGCAAACTGAACATTCCAAGCTTTTTTTTGAGGCATCATTTCTGAACATATTTTTAAGGTAAATCTCTTATTGTTTAGACAGAACACTAGGGTTTTGTTACTGTGTTCTTTGTTTGTTTTTTTTTCGTATGTTGCACATATTTGGGTTTTTTGTTTTAGACACAAGGGGCTTAGGGGTTTAGGGGTATCTGGTTTTAGGGTCTAAGGTTTAAGGTTGAAGTTTTCTTCTTTACTAAAACTAAAAAATCACCAAAAAAAAAACAAGCACGAAAATTAAAAATGATACAAAAACATGGGCCAACATCCAAAGCTCTAATAGTAAATAATAAAAGATGATGAAATATTATAAACAAAAACTGATCAAGCAAAAAACTGATGACAAAGATAATAGAAGATTATACAAGATGATTAAAAAAAAGGATTAACCAAAAAAAACAAGTATTATAAAAGATAATAAAGATAATAGCAGACGATAACCATAGAAGATGATTAAGATATGGGTGCTGTCCAAACAAAGTCCAAAGGATGACCCGATTAAAAGATGATAAAAGATGATAAAAGATGATAAAAGATGATAAAAGATGATAACGATAGAAGATGATTAAGATAAGGATGCTTTCCAAACAAGGTCCAAACGATGACCCGATTAAAAGATGATAAAAGATGATAAAAAAAAGATGATAAAAGATGATAAAAGATGATAACGATAGAAGATGATTAAGATAAGCATGCTTTCCAAACAAGGTCCAAATGATGACCCGATTAAAAGATAATAGAAGATGATAAAAAATATAATAAAAGATTACAAAAAAATAGTGGTTTTTCGGATTTAATTAATTTAATTAATTTAATTGTCCAGAATTAAATTAATTAAATTAATTAAATTAATTAAATTAATTAAATTAATTAAACTAATTTAATAGGGTGAAAATCTGGAGCTGGAGCCAGGCCCTTGAAGAATTAAATTAATTAAATTAATTAAATCCGAAAAGTGGTTTTTCGGATTTAATTAATTTAATTAATTTAATTCTTCCAGGGGAATGGTTCTACGCCAGGATTCCTGCCCTATTAAAATAATTTAATTAATTTAATTAATTTATAATTAAATTAATTAATTTAATTAATTTAATTAATTTAATTGTCCAGAATTAAATTAATTAAATTAATTAAATCCGAAAAGTGGTTTTTCGGATTTAATTAATTTAATTAATTAATTGTCCAGAATTAAATTAATTAAATTAATGAAATTAATTAAATTAATTAAATTAATTAAATTAATTAAATTAATTTAATAGGGTGAAAATCTGGAGCTGGAGCCAGGCCCTTGAAGAATTAAATTAATTAAATTAATTAAATCCGAAAAGTGGTTTTTCGGATTTAATTAATTTAATTAATTTAATTCTTCCAGGGGAATGGTTCTACGCCAGGATTCCTGCCCTATTAAATTAATTTAATTAATTTAATTAATTTAATTAATTTAATTGTCCAGAATTAAATTAATTAAATTAATTAAATCCGAAAAGTGGTTTTTCGGATTTAATTAATTTAATTAATTTAATTGTCCAGAATTAAAATAATTAAATTAATTAAATTAATTAAATTAATTAAATTAATTAAATTAATTAAATTAATTAAATTAATTAAATTAATTAAATTAATTAAATTAATTAAATTAATTTAATAGGGGGAAAATCTGGAGCTGGAGCAAGGCCCTTGAAGAATTAAATTAATTAAATTAATTAAATCCGAAAAGTGGTTTTTCGGATTTAATTAATTTAATTAATTTAATTCTTCCAGGGGAATGGTTCTACGCCAGGATTCCTGTCCTATTAAATTAATTTAATTAATTTAATTAATTTAATTAATTTAATTAATTTAATTAATTTAATTAATTTAATTGTCCAGAATTAAATTAATTAAATTAATTAAATCCGAAAAGTGGTTTTTCGGATTTAATTAATTTAATTAATTTAATTGTCTAGAATTAAATAAATTAAATTAAGTAAATTCATCAAATTAATTTAATAGGGGGAAAATCTGGAGCTGGAGCCAGGCTCTTGAGGAATTAAATTAATTAAATTAATTAAATTATTTAAATTAATTCCTTTCCTTAAAGGCAAGGCGGCACGCAAAATAGACCCGAGAGGGCTCTCTCACATATATATATATATATATATATATCTGGCAAGAGAGGGTTTAGGGTTTAGGGGCTCAGGGGTTGAGGGTTGAGGGTGAGCCCCAACGCAAGCGCAGGAATCACCACGCTCCGCCCTCTTCCCTGCACCCTGGGCCTTCGAAGCCGCGGCATAAAGGCCTGGCATCCCTATGAACCCTGTGAAGCTGTAGAAAAGCCTGAAACCATAAGCAACAACCCCTAAACCCTAAACCCTAAACCCTAAACCCTAAACCCCAAACCCCAAACCGACTAATCCCACCATAGACTTCACGGCCGGGCGTCCGCATTTGATGTGCGTCGTAGGGGTGGGTGCTAAGTTCCTGGCGCAAGCTCCGCACTTGAGAGTTGCCAAACTCGAGAGTCCGGGGGTTTAGGGTTTTATTTTAAGGTTTAGGGCTTATTTTAGGGTTTAGGGTTTAGGGTTTAGGGTTTAGGGTTTAGGGTTTAGGGTTTAGGGTTTAGGGTTCATTTCAGGGTTTAGGGTTTAGTTTAGGGTTTAGCGTACGGCAGCAGCTGCGGGCTCCTTTGCTGCGTCAGTGTGAAAAAGGGGGTGACATGCAATCGCTGCCCATATGTCCTCTACGAGGATCACAACCCCGCACCTGACGTGCGTTCAAGAGGGCTCCATACCGACCAGTGTGTCACCAAGGTAATGTAGGGGTCTCTTGAATTAGAAAGGGTATTTAAGGTCCTTCATACTTTCATGTCATAGGGGAAATAAGGGGAAAATATTTGATTGGGGATTACTTGGGCCTCTCATGCTGTGTCTAAGCAAGCTAACCCCAAAAATCACAGGATAAGGAGTGTTCCTTAAATAACATGAGCCCTAAATTAAATCCTCACCCTAAACCCTAAACCCCAAACCGCAAACTCTAAACCCTAAACCCTAAACCCTACACCCTAAGCCCTAAGCCCTAAACCCTAAACCCTAAACCCTAAACCCTAAACTCTAAACCCTAAACCCTAAACCCTACTCTAGAACACCTATTGATCCTTTTGGAATACACCCCCCCCTTTCATTTTCCCAACGCCTCAACCCTTCAACCCCCCAGACCGTAAACCCGAGGCCCTAAACTCCCTAAACTCCCTAAACTCCCTCAACTCCCTAAACTCCCTAAACTCCCTAACCCCTAAACTCTAAAACCTTAACCTCTGATCTGCCAACCCTACAGGGCAACTCCCGCTCTCCGGGCCTGCGCCGAAGCTGCGGGAACAGGAGGCATCAGCGGCGGTGGCTCCTCAGCACCGTGAGGAGGGGACCCAACCCTAAACCCTAAACCCTAAACCCTAAACCCCAAACCCTAAACCCTAAACCCTAAACCGCAGGGCTTTAGGGTTTTAAGGTTCCCGGGCTCAGGGATTAAAGGTTTTGGTAGTTTGGGGGCAGGCCTGGGGTTCATACGACAGGCCTGGGAGTGCGACGGTTTAGGGTTTAGGGTTTAGGGTTTAGGGTTTAGGGTTTAGGGTTTAGGGTTTAGGGTTTAGGGTTTAGGGTTTAGGGTTTAGGGTTTAGGTTTTAGGGGTTAGGGTTTAGGGTTTAGGGTTTAGGGTTTAGGGTTTAGGGTTTAGGGTTTAGGGTTTAGGGTTTAGGGTTTAGGGTTTAGGGTTTAGGGCTTAGGCGAGTGTGGGCCTTGTGGGGTTTAGGGTTTTTTTGGCTTGATGGGGTTTTCATTGGGGTTTGGAGTTTGGGCGGTTTTAGGGTTTAGGGTTGGGGGGGGGTTCGGGCTTCGGGTGTTGGGTTTGTGGTCTTTGGGGTTTCTAGCGCAAAGGGGGGTTTACAGGCTACAGGGCTTGGGGTGTTGGGATCAAGCTTTTGTAAAGTGCTTTAAGCAATCGATTTCGAGGGCTTAGTTTGGGCCAGCCCTTAAGTGTGATTTCGAGGCGAGAAGGCCTTTTGCTTGTGGACGCGATTTTTCTTCTCTACGATAGCTGCGATGTTTGTAGGCGCAGGCCCAGCGGCTAACGTGGCAGCTCCTGTTGATAGCACCCAAAAGGACACTGTGGTTGAGTGTGCGGAGGGACGAGGACACCTTTGAAAAACACGCCCTCGAAGATATCTGCAAGTGGTGTATACAAAGTGCAGCAGAACAATCACACAATGAACACGCGTAGAAGAACGTTCTTTGGGGGGGGGGGGGGGGGGGGGGCGAAGGTTCCACACTTTTTCCGGTACCCTAAACCCTAAACCCTAAACCTTAAACCCTAAACTCCAAACCCCAAACCCTAAACCATACACAATATACACTGGACCAAGCGACCCTCAACCCGAAACCCGACAGGGACCTCGAGCTAAACCCTAAACCCTAACCCTAAACCCTAAACCCGAAACACGAATCCCTAATCCCTGAAACAGCCCTTCCTGCCTCGGCGATGTCGTCGAGGCGGACCTCCTCGGGCGGGGCCATGGCCCGCTCCTCTCCGGCAGTTTGATTGGATTTAGGGTTTGGGTTTTAGGGTTTAGGGGTTTAGGGGTTTAGGGGTTTAGGGGTTTAGGGGTTAAGGAGTTTAGGGGTATAGGGGTCGGGGCGCCAAAGAAGGGGTTTAGAGCTTCTCTAGGGTTGCGTGGAGGTTGCAGAGAGAACTGTCTAGGCCCTGGCTTTGGACTTCAGGGCCGCCAAGGGGGTGTATTAGGGCTGGCCGCGCTTCTTGGGCGTTCTCTTGAGGTCTTTGGGGGCTTTGGGGTTTTCGGGAACTTAGAAGGGCTCTGGGGATGTAGGGACTCTACCCCACATCCAACAGTCGCTAGTTACAACCAGGGGCCTTTCTAGGCCCGATTGATGCGCAGACATGGCATAGGGTAACTAGGGAGTTTAAAGGCCTTTTGGGTTTAGGGTTTAGGGTGTCGGGTTTAGGGTTTAGGGTGTAGGGTTTAGGGTTTAGGGTTTAGGATTTAGGGTAACTAGGGAGTTTGGTTTCAGCTTGTCTGGCAGAGTCCGCTCTGCATGCTGCTGGGCTTAGGGCTTACAGGGTCAATTCGCCGTCAGTAAACCCTAAGCCTAAGCACCCCCCCCTAGAACCCCCCCAACCCTACACCCTTAACCCTAAAACCCTAAAGCCCTAAAACCCTAACACCCTGAAACCCAAGAGACCCCCCACCCCCCCACCCCAAAAAAAAACACCCAAAAGGCTCCGCGAGTTTCGGCGCGTGGGGCGGGGGCAGCGGTTCGGACACTTCCTGGCAGGATGTGGGGTTCTGAAGGCTTAGGGTTGACGGCCTTTAAGTGGCTTTAAGGGCTTCGGGATTTGGGGTTGAGGGTTTAGGGGTTTGGGGCAAGAGGGGTCTCAAGGGGGCTTAGGGTTTTTGTTTAGGGCTTTTCGGAGTTTAATTGGGTGGTTCAGGTGGCGCCGCGAGAACTTGGGGGTGTCGAGAAAAGCCCTAAACCCCCAACGCGTTTGCATTTATAAGCTCCTCAAAGCGAGGGTCTGGGAAGCTTTCAGGGGCTTTCAGGGGCTTTCAGGGGCTTTCAGGGTTAGAGTTCAAGGTTGTTACTGATATTATCTACCCTTGCTTAAGGACCGTGTAGCGGAGACGTGGCAGACCCCCTCCAAACCTTCTATCCCTAAACTAACACCGCCAAACTAAGACCTAAACCCTAAACCCTAAGCCCTTCAACACCCCAGAACCCTACACCCTAAACCCCCCCCCCCCCAAAGCCCCAAAACCGTAACTAAACCCCAAACCCTAAACCCCTACCACCCTACCACCCTCAACCCTAAACCCGAAAAAGCAGCAGAGGATCCCCCTAACACCCTCAGAGGGCCTCGTGCACCGACCGGTCGGTTGTGGGCGGCTTCCACGCCTCCGCCACCCCGGAGATGGGGTCGGTGAAGCCTCGAGGTCAGGGGGGTGAAAAGGGGGGTAAAAGGGGCTTTTCGGGGGTCTCAGGCGTGAAAGGTGTTTCGGGGGGGGGGGGAGTGAGATTAGGGGGGTTCTAGAGATTTGGCGGGGGGGTTTTGCTGCCGTTGGGGGGGGGGGGGGGGATCGGCGCAGATCAATCCAAGCGACGCTCACTGCAGAAGTCCCAACCTCCAGCAGGGCTGCAGGGCTTCAAGCGGTTGAGGGTTTGGGGTTTAGGGTTTGGAGTTTCGGGTTTGGGGTTGGGTCTAGGGTTAAACTTAAGGGCCTGTTTCATTAGCATGGGCCCTCGGCGAGGCTTCTCGTAGGCGACGATACTTACCAATCCAATCTTATCTCCTGGCCTCAAGGATCATGAAGGGCATGAAAGTAACGTTCAGCCCCCTTAGTTTCCTAGGAGGCGAAACCCCAAACCACGGCCGACAGAATCCTTAGTATGCCTGGTTGCTATCAACCCCCGGCAGACAAGGAGCCTTTTGAGGCGAAGGAAACCCCCAAAACCCCCAAACCACGGCCGAGAAGCTGTGCGACGCATTCCAGCCCCGGCCGGCGAGCTCTGGACGCTCGTCGTCCACCGCGGTTGGGCAGATGTGGAAAGCGCCGCTGTCGTCCCTCAGGCGACTTGAGAGCTGCACGCAAAGTGTGTTTTCAATCCAGGTACAGAGGTGCAGTGGCTGGTCGGCTCACTGAAAACACAGGGTCCCTTTATGTAAAGAAGCCGTCTTCCTTTCCAGGGGCTAAGGACTAAGGGCTAAGAACTAAGGGCCCCTGCGCTGTGCACGCCCTGGTGTGGGATGGCCGGTGATGAACCCCGGTTTGTTGCGCAAGGCGCACGTGGCATCGGATCATATCGGATCAAGTTCAGTGATGCACTTCCCATGTCCTCATCCTGCGTCCCCCGAGGTCTGCAGTACTTGCTGCCCAAATCTAAACCTCAGGCTACTCCAGCCTTAAACAGGCACATCCATCGATCCCTCTCTCTTCCAGTCTCTTCTTCTTCTTCTTCTTCTTCTTCTTCTTCTTCTTCTTCTTCTTCTTCTTCTTCTTCTTCTTCTTCTTCTTCTTCTTCTTCTTCTTCTTCTTCGTCTTCTTCTTCTTCTTCTTCTTCTTCTTCTTCTTCTTCTTCTTCTGCGGCACAGCTTAGCCCCCCGAGGAGGGGTGGCCAGATATCCCAGCAGGGTTCGTTCGTGTCTCTCACACGTTGTTTTCTTTATTTCTTGATTTTTTATGTGTTTATCTTTCTTTCTTTCGTTCGTTCTTTACTTCATTTTGTTCTGTCTTTCTGTCTTTTCTTTCTTTCTAAACGTATCTTTCTTTTCTTTCTCCATTTCTTTCTCACACTCGCTCGACCTCTCTTTTTGTTCTCTTAATGTTGTTCCTGTTTTCTCTCTCTCTCCCTCTCTCCCTCCCTCCCTCTCCCTCACATACGATGGTCCCACATGCGACTCAGGCACGTCGTGGTGCAGAGATGCCTCGGCTCCCGTCATACCCCCCAAAGAACCCCGAGTTAGGGTTTAGGGTTTCGGGCTTAGGGTTTGGGGTTTCGGGTTTAGGGTTTGGGGTTTCGGGTTTAGGGTTTGGGGTTTCGGGTTTGGGGTTTCGGGTTTGGGGTTTCGGGTTTAGGGTTTGGGGTTTCGGGTTTGGGGTTTCGGGTTTGGGGCTGGGAGAAATATTTTAACAAGATCCTAAGGGGGCTCTAGACTAGGGGGCAGCAAGGCGGTGTGGGAAGCGCGGGAAATTAAGGGCTTCCAGGTTTCACACATGTTGCCCCTGTATCCTCGGAATGAAGAAAGAAAAAAAGCCGTAAACCCTAAACCCTTCCGCAAGAAGTAGGGTTCAATAACGGGAACCCAGCCCCTGAAAGAAGAGACACAGGAGGGACTGGGCGTCCTGGTGCCCTAAACCCTCAACCCTCAACCCTAAAACCCTAAACCCTAAAACCCTAAACCCTAAAACCCCTAGACCTGGAGGGACTCTAGGTGTAAAGGCTTGGGCAACCGAGCTGCTGGTGCGCCGGATCCTTCCTGAGCTCACAGGTCTACGGGTTTTCTCGACGTGTTGGCGGCTTTTTGGGGGGGAGTTGTAGGCCTAAACCCTAAACCCTAAACCCTAAACCCTAAACCCCCAGGGGGTGCCTTGTTGAAGCCTTGGGGGTTCCAGGGTCTCCGGGCTTCTTTGGGGAGTGGCTCTTCGCAAGCAGGGGGGATGTGCTGGAGGTTTGCTGGGTCACCCCAGCCCCACGACCCCAATCATGCGCATCTCATCGTCACTGGGGCCATATTTCGAGGGTCCTGACTTTGGGGTTTAAAATTCCTGCTGAGTTCGACCTCCAAGTGGGTCCGAAAGCAAGACATTTCTGTGCCCCTCAGCTGGCCGCGAGGGTCCTATCGTTGCGGCTCACGTCCGCTTAGCACTGGGTCATGCCCTCAAGAAGCTCATTAGGCCCGAGTGCCTTAAGCCTAGGCCCTACAAGCCCTCAACCCCAAACACGTGATGTCCCCTAGCACCGCAACTTGAAAACAAAAAAACAAGCATCGGTGCATAAGAAAATCAAGTCAATAAACCCTTAACCCGGATAGTCTAGGTTGGGTGGCCGGGGTGGGTTGACCCACCACGCGAGCGCGCGGCCCGGGGCGTTTCACACCCTAGCACGTGCTCTCCCCTGATAAACCCTGAACCCTAAACCCTAAACCCTAAACACCAGACCCTGAACCTTTGGCAAGGGGCTGGTACTGCAGCATCGCTTCGACTGACAGCCGGTCCCTTAGAGGCACCTGCAGAGGCTTGGTGCACAATTTGGGTAAAGGGTTTAGGGTTTAGGGTTTAGGGTTTAGGGTTTAGGGTTTAGGGTTTAGGGTTATTTGGCTTTGGCCACAAGAGCTTTGCAGGCGGAAGTCATCTGAAGTCTCCCTTCCTTGACAACCGACTTCTTCAACCCTAAACCTAAACCCTTCAGCTGCCCCAGAACCCCAAACCAAAAACCCCTAGAACCTTACAGAACCTCTGAGTGTAAACCCCTCCCTAAAACGCAAGCCTTGGTCACATCGAGGCTACCGTCCTCCCGAATGCGAGCTGCGGAATCAGAGGACTGTAGAAATCCCTGCCTACAGCCTGGTCAGATCATGGGGGCCACGCATACTTCTCTACCAATTGCGTAAGAACCCCAAAAATAAATAAAAAACATATATTCTTCTTAAAGGTAATGTAGGGATTATTGTTTTTTTTATTCTTTTGGGGCTCTTAAGCAAATAGTAGTTCTGGGAACACAGAACATACATACAACAATCCTACTGGTGCGGGCAGAGTAAGGCTGAAAGAGCGAGGCTGCTTCGACGTGCAGAGGGTTAGGGGTTTAGGGCCTAGCCAACCGAACGTAAAAGAGCATGTCAAGCAAAACCCGGAACTTTTCTACGACTTTTACACCCTAAACCCTGACCCCTAAAAAACCAAGAAACCATCAAGTTGAATCGAGGCCTCCTGTAAGAAGAGGGCCATTGGGTCGCAAGTGGCCCATTTCAGACGACAAGGGCTGTGGGATTCGGAGGATTTAGAGTGTTCGTTGGCAGGCTTAACTTTTTTGAACTTTAGGGGTTTGAGTCCTTGCGCAAGAAGAAGGGATCCTCGTGGTATCTCCTCCAGCGGGAATAGATACCAAGAGCGGGCACAAGAGCTCGGCTCTGCGGTTTTGGGGCTCGACTGACTCCGGCCCCGAGGTGGACGATGGTTTGGGGCTTATAGGGGCTGCTGACAAATCCCGAAGCAACAGAACTTTCGAGCTTAATTAAACCTTGCAAATCACACACGCCCTAAAACCCTCTAGAGTCCCCGCGATGCAGACATATGCGTCCCTGCCACATGCTTGCGAGACTACGGCTCCCTACAAGCACCCCCGCCCCCAAAAAAACCCAAACCCCAAACCCTAAACCCTGAACCCCAAACCCTAACCCTACAAACGCCCCAAAGTCCCGGGGCCTAAGCAAGTCGCCACGCCAGGCGCACATCGCCCCGTGCGCCGTGCGGGGCGCCGCGCCTGCCCCAAGCTTGGGCAGATCCATTTCCGAAAAAGTCGGCGTTAGGTCTGATCATCCTCATATAGGGAGTTAGGGTTTAGGGTTTAGGGTTTAGGGTTTAGGGTTTAGGTTTTAGGGTTTAGGGTTTAGGGTTTAGGGTTTAAGGTTTAGGGTTTAGGGTACTACTAACAATATTCCCTTAGGGTCCCTTTGTAATGATACCAGAATAACCCCCAAAACCCTATTCTAATTATTCAGGCCCCTATATTATCTAAGGAAACCCCCCAAAAAACGCAATCCTGAGTTCTGGAAACTCCTGGGTTCAGGGTTCCGCATGAGGGGTTCAGGGCTTCTAGAATACGAAGCCAATCCCCGGCAAAAATCCAAACTCAGACACTGAGTCAACCCTAAACCCCAAACCCTAGCTACCTCAAAAACTCCAACTCCAGACCCTAAAAACATCCCTAAACCCTAAAACCCTAAACCCTAAAACCCTAAAACCCTAAAACCCTAAACCCTAAACCCTGAACCACTAAAGCATGCGCCTGCACTGGTCAAACCCAGCTTCGGCTCGCAGTAGTCCCAGACGGTCCCCGAGCGCTCGAGGTCTGGGCGGAAGCCGGCAAGGATCAGCGGTTTTGAGGGTTTAGGGTTTAGGGTTTAGGGGTTTAGGGTTTAGGGTTTAGGGTTAAGGGTTTAGGGGTTTAGGGTTTAGGTAGGGGTTGAGGGTTTTTGTAGGATTTGGCTTTTGGGCTTGGGATTTGGGGTTTAGGGTTTTGGGCTGTAAGCTTCTCCAGATTTTCAGGGTTGGGGGTCCAGGCTTGTAAGCCAGAAGCGCTTTCGGGGCTTTCGGGCCAGAGGGGTTTAGGGGGCTGGGGGGGGCGTAGGGTCTGTCCAAGGATCCTAGGTGACCCGAAGCCTTCAACGCCAACAGTTGCTGAGGGTGCCTCGTTCTCGCTTCGTCTCGGGGCCACCTGCAAGCTCAGCCAGGCTTACAGTTTGGAGTGTCTTGGGCAATGGTGGCTTTCGGGGAGACTCCGAGCCCCCCAAATCCTAGGCGCTTAAGATTAGGGCAAATGTCCGGTTGAGGGGTCAGTGCAACTGCGCGGCTATACTTTTGTGGTGATGGCAGTACGACGTATCCCCAGCTCGTGCAAAGGCTGCGCCTGACTTGTAAAGGTTATGGTCCCGCAGTGCTGGGTCCTGCGAAATGGGGCTTCACATCCTTAGCACAAGCACTTAGAGTCTATATGGGGTGATGATTTCGCCTGCACTGAGAGTGAAAACTTGGACACGGCCTCCCATATCCCAAACGGCTCACCCTAAACGCTACGACCCACGATCCGGCCCCGACGCTTTACATGTGTCCTGGGGATGCTCCTTTCGAGCGGCGGCGGAAAGCAAAGGGCAGGACCCGCCGCCTTCAGCTGGAGTTTGGGTGGCGTTGCTTACTATAGGGGCCTTGAAAATTAGAATAGGGTTCTGGGATTATAGTATATTTTATATAGGGACCATAAGGAAAGAATGTTAGTAGTTATTCCGACCCCTATATTACCTTGAGCGCAAAGCCCTTGAAACCGAAAACCAACCAATCACCTAAGCTGGCAAGCTCTTAAACGCAGGTGTCCGGGGTGTAATTTGGCTTGGGCAAGCTTGGTTTCGGGTCAGTGTTTACCAGAGCCCTACGTACCTGAAAACTCATTCCTCGAAACATGCTGACTGTCCGGCTTTCAAGTTCACAAAGGGGCCCCAAGACAGGAGAAGGCAACAAATCGTTTCGCATCACTGAGTGTGACCTGAGCTGACTAGATTGGTAGCGGGCCCAGTTGGCACACGGCCGAGCATAAATTAATAAAAGGACATCTTGGTCCACGGGGTGGCAATTCAACAAGAGTGTCAAAGAGTCGGAGCTCGCAGCGCTTTGCTGTTGGATGTCCAGGGCTCTCCGTCGTACTGGGGAAACCACACGTGTGCCACGCGTTGGCTTTGCGAACACACAACGCGCGATACCCGGAAACTCCCCCAACCCCTGAAACCCCACCTTTTGAAACAGGAACCCTTCTGCTGCGCATTCGGCGAAAAGAGTGCCCCAAAAAAGGGACCCTGGTCTAGAGAGATGTCATTTTGGAGCACATGAGCTATGCCGCCACTCCCCCGCCTACCCGGCACCATGTGAAGGACCTGCCCTGGAGAGCGCACTTCGCCTGACCACGCGGCTCACGGGGTCGAGTGCTGTCCTAGCCACTCAAAAAAAGGGACTACCTATACATTCCGCACATAAAGCCTTCCCTTGAGAAAGCACTTAGAAGTGAGACTTCCACCAAAGAACCAGGGTCGAACTATGGCGAACAGGGCCCTCCGAATTTCACCCAAAAGCCCAAGAGCCGACGCTGAGAACCCCGCAAGACGCTCATAGACGCTGCGAGAGATCCCCGTCTCCCTCTCTCCCCCAACCCTAAACCATAAACCCTTCACCCTAAACCCTGTAAACCCTGCTGTATACACCCTATAAACCCTATAAACCCTAAACCTCTAAACCCTCTAAACCCTATAAACCCTATAAACCCTATAAACCCTATAAGCCCTATAAACCCTATAAACCCTATAAACCCTCTAAACCCTATAAACCTTAAACCCTAATCCCTAAAGCCCCTTTCGTTTCCTACCCCATAAACCCTAAACCCTCAACCCCCTTTTCCTGCGGATCGCACTGGCATCCCGCGGACGTGTAGCCTGGGAGGCGCGTCAGGGGCCACAGGGGTTCAGGGTTTATAGGGTTCAGGGTTCAGGGTTTAGGGTTGAGGGTTTAGGGTTTAGGGTTTAGGGTTTAGAGTGTAGGGTGTAGGGTTTAGGGTTTAGGGTTTGAGGTTTAGGGTTTGGGGTTTTCAGGGTTTCAGTGTTGAGGGTTCTTCGAGGAGAGCCGCATCCAGGACCCCCCGAGCACGAGAAGTCCCGTAAACCCTCAACCTTAAACCCCAGGACAGCTTACTTTTTCCTCCCAAAACCTCAGACCTCAAGACCCTCAATCTCAAAGAGCCCTGAACCCTAAACCCAAAACCCTAAACCCCAAACACTGTGATCCGTTTGAGAATCACACCCATCGGCTCTCCATCGTCCATCTTGTCGACCTTCTCCTTGGCCTTGAGGACCTGCATGGGGAAGGTGCTTTTAGGGCTTGAGGTTTAAGGTTTAGGGTTTAGGGTGTAGGGTTTGGGGTTTAGGGTGTAGGGTTGAGGGTTGAGGGTTTTTGAGGTTTGAGGCTTGGGGGGTTTGGAGATTAAAGGGCTCAGGGCTTAGTGGGGGCAAACACTAAACCCCAAACCCCAAGGGTCCCTCTTTTCGTCCCCTGATAACCCCTAAACCCGAACCCAAAACCCCAAAACCTAAACCCTGAACCCCAAACCCTGAACCCTAGACCCTAAACCCCAAATCCCGTCGCGGGGGACACCTCCTTGCCGTGCGCAGTCAGCTCCTCCGGCGAGTGCTCCTCAAAGCAGCTTGCACATACACTGTTGGGGACAACGGGTTTAGGGGTTCAGGGGTTTAGAGGTTTAGAGCTTTAGGGTTTTGGGGGTTTAGGGGTTTAGGGGTTTAGGGGTTGAGGGGTTGAGGGGTTGAGGGGTTGAGGGGTTGAGGGGCTTAGGGGTTTGGGGGTTTAGGAGTTTATTGGTTTAGGGGTTTAGGGGTTTAGAGGGTTTAGGGGTTTAGGGGTTTGGAGGGTTTAGGGGTTTTGGGGGGGGTTTAGGGGTTTAGGGGTTTAGAGGGTTTAGGGGCTTACGGTTTAGGGGTTTAGGGGTTTAGAGGGTTTAGGGGTTTCGGCGGTTTAGGGCTTAGAGGGTTTAGGGGGTTTAGGGGTTTTGGGGTTTAGGGGATTAGGGGTTTAAGGGTTTAGAGGGCTTAGGGGTTTAGGGGCTTAGGGGTTTAGGGGTTAGGGTGTAGTTTAGGGTTTAGGGTTAAGGAGCCCAGAATCCCGAAGTGGCACCAAAGGGGGGCCAAGAATCCGCGCACTGTCGCGACTCAGACGGGAACCCTCCTAACCCGAAGCCCTGAACCTTGTGTGGGGTGGGGGGGGGGGGCAGTTCTCGACATTGAGTAAAACTTAAGTCCTAAAACCTTAACGCTAGGGAGGAGGGGGAGGGGGGTGGGGCCCTAAACCCTAAACCCTCAACCCTAAACCCTAAAACTATAAACCCTAAACCCCTAAACCCTAAACCCTAAGCCTGAGGGGGGGGGAGGGAAGCAGTTCAAGCCCTCTCCTGGTTGTCATTGAAATCGGCGCCCTCGGCCTTCCAAACAACATTTTAGGGTTTAGGGTTTAGGGTTTAGGGTTTAGGATTTAAAGGTCTCAGTCCCTAAACCCCCGCCCCCCTTAAGGGCCCCAAGCCCTAAACCCCCTACCCAACCCCCAAACCCTAAACCCTGAACCCGAAACAACCTAATCCTAACCCCCTAAACCCCTCACCCCTAAACCCCCTAAACCCCTAAGCCCCTAAACCCCCTAAACCCCCCTGAAACCCTAAACCCTGAACCCTAAACAGCCTAATCCTACCCCCCCCCCCCCCCCCCACACCTCTGAACCCCTGAACCCCCTGAAACTCCTAAACCCTAAACCCCTAAACCCCCTAAACGCCGGAACCCCTGAAACCGCCTGAAACCCCCCTTTGAAATCCTGAGCACCTCTTCCAACCCCGGCTTCGCCTCATTGAGAGGTGCCAGGTGCACGTCGCTGTCTCGCAGCTTCCTGAGCTGCTTAGGGCGACAGTTTAGGGTTTGCGGTTTGGGGTTTAGGGGTTGGGGTTTGGGTTTAGGGTTTAGGGTTTGGGGTTTGGGGTTTAGGGTTTAGGGTTTAGGGATTTATTAGGGTTTAGGGCTTAGGGCTTGGGGTTTGGGGTTTAAGGTTTGGGGTTTAGGGTTTAGGGGGGTTTAGGGTGAGCTCCCCCCCCCCCCTCCCGGGAATGCAGGGCGACGTCTTTGGCAGTGTGTGATGGCGCGACTTGCGGGGACTCCGCGACTCTGTGGTTTTCGACAGTACTTAGCAAGGATTTGACGATTGCTTATTACAGACCCTAGGTTGAGGGTTTAGGTTTTAGGCTTAGGGTTTAGGGTTTTAGGGTTTTAGGGCTTCATCTTCAACACAACCTTTCTTCTCATTCTGTAGGGCATGTGGTCTCGAGACTTTCGGGCTTGGAGGTCCCCCCCTTGAGCATGACGACAAGGCTGTCGCTGACCCCCCTCACAACTCCGACGCCAGCCGTCCCAGACTCAAGCACGGGCCAGTTGCGGCAAAGTCTCGGCATAGACGTAATGCCGTGCGAAATGGCCTCGCCACTCAAGGCCATACAGGGCAACTCTGAAGGCAACCACGGGAACTCCAATGTTCTCACCGGCACAAATCACTGCGTCACAAGACATCTAACTGCCCTCCCGATTGTGGGCCTACAGGCGAGACGCTTCAAGCAATTCAGGGCAGGCAGTTCTGAGTTCTGCGATGTTCTACCCAAGCAAAGCGATGGTGACACCTGGCCTTTCGTGCATCCACCCGCAGCACAGTGAGCCCGGTTTTGGGTCGAGGGTTTAGGGCTTGTCCATGTTTTGAATATCCATGGGTTTGGGGTTTAGGGCAGTTTAGGGTTTAGGGCTCAGGGCTTCAGCTTCTGATCTGCCCCAGAAGACGCCTCATCCGCGAGCGTTTTCGCGCGGTAGGCCACCTGGCTCAGCGAAAGGTTTTAATGAATATGTCCGAAAATAGGTACAGTTGACTATGTCCGAAGATAGGTACAGTACCTCTTATATACCCCAAAGTACTATTATCCCTATTATGGGGACCCTCTTTGGGGGTTATTGGAGTATAGTTACAAAGGGATCATAAGGGAATACTATTTGTCATTATTCCGACCCCTATATTAAATCCCTACATACATCGCAAAGGTGTCGGATTTGGATGGCCAAGGTCAAGTCTCGTCTTCAGCGGCCGGGTTTCCGAAAATAGGGGTGCGGCCTTTTTGGGGTTTGGGCTTCAGGGTGCCGCCCCCCCCCTCCCTATTTTGGGGGGAGGCGGGGGCGGGAACCCTATTCTAATTATTAAGGCCCCTATATTACGTGGAATTGGGGGGCCTTGGGCCTTGGGGTGCCTGATGACAAGAAGAGCTCGGCAGAAGAAAGCCTCCAGCCCATTGGAGGATGGATCGAGTCCACCCCAACTTCCAACATGTCTATGCCTGCCCTCCTCGACGTACTACCTCTTAGGCAACTTAGGGTTTAGGTTTAGGTTTAGGATTTAGGCTTTAGGGGGCAAGGTTCCTGTAGGTACCCTAGAGTGAGGCTCTTAGAACTAACCTCGAACTCCTACGCAGAACCAGTCCATATAGGAGCCCCTTTGACTCTTTCATTCTCGGGTAGCTTGGCATACAGTAGGGGGTCAACGACACTAGACAACCTATACACCCTAGAGCCCCACAACTTAAAAACAAACTATCACTAACACCCTACGAAACCCTCATAAACCGAAAACAGACAACAAAAACAACATTAATGACCAAACATAAAAAACAACCCTATGAAGTATGAAGCCCTACAAACCCCATAACCCTACAAACCCATGGGGGTATTTGATGCGGAGCCCACCTGCAGGGCTTCGTAGACCTCGTCGCTGGCCTGCGGAGCCCCAAAGAAGTTCAGGGTTTAGGGTTGAGGGTTTAGGGTTTCGAGGTTTGGGCTTGGAGTTTAGGGCATCTCGCTGCGCAGCGGCAGTATGTACATGGAAATGGCTCCCCACACTTAGTGGTGTGGGGGCGAGGGGGCATGCCACGCAATGGCATCTAATCAATGCAGTCCAACAATTTCATTGGTGCTAGGTTTCTTTCTCCTCCCCCCCCCCCCCCGCCGCTGTGAGCTTTCACAGGCCACCATCCAAACCATTGCATTTTAGGGTTCAGGGCTGCAGCCCTCAATTGCCACCCTGGACGCGGTCGCTTCAAACTTCAACACAACAACAGAACGAGGGTGCAGGGGGGAGGGGGGCAAAGGGGTCAGCCAGAAGTGTGGTTGGGGTCAGGGATTTTGGCTCTGGGAGGGTACCCCGTATTCTCATCAAGAGGAGGTGGGGGATGACTTAGTATAGAAGATTATAGAAGGCAAAACTTGAGCGGTCATAAGGCAAGGCTCAGCCACTTTCCAACGGCACCACCCATTGTCTGTCCAGGGAAGGTGCTTCTGTACTGCCGGATGTTGTTCTGGACCCAGGCACCCTAGAAAACGGCCTACCAAACACATTGGGTCTTAGACTCTTGTTGTCCCTTTAGAAGGAAGGTTTGGCGAAGGTTTAGACTTGTTAAATCCTAAATTTCAAACCCTAAATCCTGAGCCCTAAGCATAAAACCTGACCCCTAAACCCTAAACCTACTTCCCGACTTCCCTACGAAGAACAAGTCGTCAAGTTCTCTCTGACAGAGTTCCCAGCTACCAAAACCCGAATCTCGCAGGCTCCTGCAAAACCCCTACCTCTTTAGGGCTTAGGGGTTAGGGTTTAGGGCTCCCCAACCACCCTGTAGGGTTTCGGGTTTAGTTAGGGCTTAGAGCTTAGGGTTTAGGGCTTAGGGTTTAGTGTTTAGGGCTTAGGGCTGAACCGAGTTGAACCCTAAACAGGCGTTTCTGGGGGCCTTCAGAGCGGCCTCGCCAGTCTTCGACAGAACATAGACCTCACTCACTGCAGGGACATCCGCGAGCCAAACAGACACAACAACTAGACTCTAGACTCTACTTGGAGGTTCATGGGTACTTATAACCCCAGTTATGAGTCTGCTTATAACCCAAGGGGGCTTGCAAGTGCAGTTGTAAATGGGGTCACAAGTACCCTGAACCTCCAAGTAGGGCTCATAGGCTTGAGTTACCTCAGCGTGGTGCCTCCATTTGGGGGTCGAGAGTCTGCATCTGGTTCTGCAGCTCCATGTTGTACCTGCAGCCAGGGGGAGCTTGGGGTTTAGGGGTTTCGGGGTTTAGGGGTTTAGGGGTTTAGGGGCTTAGGGGTTTCGGGGTTTCGGGGTTTAGGGGTTTTGGGGTTTAGGGGTTTTGGGGTTTTGGGGTTTAGGGGCTTAGGGGTTTTGGGGTTTAGCGGTTTTGGGGTTTAGGGGTTAGGGTTCCTAAACCCTGAAGCACAAGCCGCAGGTTGCCAGCCTAGGCATATAGACATGCACGACTTGCCAATAAAAAAGCAGGACGTAGCGGCCCTTAACCACCAGCACCGAAAAAAACTGCCCTGCCCTGGGCTTGCAGCGGTTGTACCCTGCTGATCTTACCTAGGCACGCAAGATGCACCTCTACACCCCACAAGTTTGAAAATCCTTCAAAAGAGCCCTCAATTCTACAAAACTGGCTCCAAGAAAATCCCCCAGAACCTTAAACCCTAAGCCCCCTCTAATGGAGGAACTCTGGATTCCGTCAATCAAACGGGCACCTGGCAGCGTCGAGGTACTGGAGTGTGCGATTGGCCCCGCTCATTGCCTCAAAAAAAACACTCGATTTCCCGAATCACCCTCAAGCCTACTCAGACGCAGAAACACCTTACCCTAAACCCTAACCCCTAAACCCTAAACCAGATCTTTGGCGCATTGAATTTCATTCTACTGCCCTCCAACCATCTTCCACACGCCACTGCACGCCGACTCTGCGCCCTCCCGTCGCTTGTCAGACGATGATCAGAGGCAAAGAACCCCCAACGGCTCCCTAAGCCAAGGGGGGGCATGTAGATTCTTGTATAGCATCTGTTGTATAGATTAGTATAAACTACATGCAGCTTCGGCGCCGTCCCAACTCGGCGGGCGGACTTTGCGAGGTCAGTCCTTGCTGGAACGGCTCGGAAAGATCAAGCTTCCAGTGCCCCCGAAGGAGGGTTTTTAGGGTTTAGGGGTTTAGGGTTTAGGGTTTAGGGCTTAGGGTTTAGGTCACTTCTCTAAATTAGGGCCCCTTCTTTTGGGATTGCGATTGTAAGGCGGCCCTTATGATTTAGGGTACAGAAAATCAACAGGGACCACACTTTATAGAACTGACATGAACTGACCACATGCCCCAGGTGTTTACCTCATCTCTCGCGCTTCGCACACCCCTGTTCTAGACCCAAGAGCAACCTAGGAAGCATAAGGGTGCCCCCTCAACCCTAAACCCTAAACCCTAAACCCTTAACCCTAAACCCTCATTGGTCAAAAAGGGAATAAGGGCCTACTCTGGGTTCTAGACTTCGAACACCGACGAAGCCAAGCGTCGCGACGTCCACCTGGCTGGGGTCTTCGCCGGCGTTTGCTCTGGGAGTGGGGGCCTAGGGGTTTAGGGTTTAGGGTTTAGGGTTTAGAGCTTACGGTTTAGGGTTTAGGGTTTAGGGCTTGGGGTAGCTGCAGCATCGAAGTCTCATACCACCTAAGCCCTAAAAACCCCTACACCCCAAAAACCTACAGCCTACTAGGACCCAAGAGCTAGTGTGCGAGCTTTCACAAGCCAAGGAGACTCGGGGTAGTTTCGCATGTCTGGGCTGTGCTTCGATTTGAGATTACTGGCAAGCAAGGATGCTTCTAGACTAGGCTTGGGCTGAACCATCTGTCTGTAACCTTGCTCCATGTTTTGCTTTCTCTTGCGACTTTCAGCTGAATGAGAAGAAGCACATTGTCACTTAAAGTCGCTTCGTCATCTCCCCACGGATTGGACAAGGTGTCAAGGTTTCAAGGGCCGAGAGGGCGGGGTTGCTCTGTCGCAGATCCAAGGCAGCTCAGTGCCTTTGAGTTTCGGCAAAGCACAAACCAAATGGGCATTTACGAAAGAGTAAGGACCCTTAAAATAGACCCCAGTTAGCAGGATTCCTTCATAATGAGGACAGCAATAAGGTACTCCTAATTTCGGAAACTTTAAATTGGTCGAGGGACCATGCAGGGTGTAACCCCCAAACCCTAAACCCTAAACCAAACCCTAAAAAAACCCCAAAACCCTCAACCTTAAACCCCAAAACCCTCAACCTTAAACCCTAAACCCTAAACCCTCTTTTTCCCAAAGACTTCGGTGGAAGAACGGTCCAAGCGTGGCGTCTCCCACCGCTTCCTGGTCCGCCTGCTCCTCGCGGGTGGCCTCTGAAGGACCGGGGGGGGGGGGGGGGGGGGGTTAGGGTTCAGGGGTTAGGGTTTATAGGGTTTATAGGGTTTATAGGGTTTATAGGGTTTAGGGTTTAGGGTTTCTAGGGTTTAGGGTTTAGGGTTTATAGGGCTTAGGGTTTAGGGTTTCTAGGGTTTAGGGTGTTTAGTGTTTAGGGTTTAGGGTTTAGGGTTCAGGGTTCAGGGTTTGGGTTTCGGGTTTATGGGTTCAGGGTCTAAGCCCTGGATTGGGCCCCGGGCATCCACGATGGACGCGGCGCGCTCGGCCCACACCCTGGCAGACCTGGGGAAACCCAGATTTGGGCTTAGGGTTTAGGGTTTAGGGTTTAGGGTTTAGGGCTTAGGGTTTAGGGTTTAGGATTTAGGGTTTAGGGTTTAGGGTTAGATTTGGCTTTTAGGGTTTTAGGCTTGCGGTTTGGGGCTTTGGGATTTAGGGTGCCTGGCACGTCGTGGGACAAGCGGAATGGGGGTTTTGGGGATTTAGGGGGGTTTTGTTTTGGTTAGGGTGTGGTCGGGCTTATGGGGCCAGATTCGGGCCTCTAGGGCTTTTTTTTTCCGTATACTGGTTCCGTGGCAGTACCTAGAGGTTTGGGGCCAAGATCTCAATGCAAGCAAGGGAAGAAATCGAAGTGTCTGAGGCGAAGGCTCGGCCATGGCGTAGGCATGGTCCACCGCCGCAGACAGCTTGCCTTCCATTAAAAAGTTATTTGGTGTTTTTCTCGACGTCCCAAAACCCTAAACCTTATCCCGATCCCTTAACCCTAAACCCTTAACCCGAAACCCTACACGCTAAACCCTAAACCCTTAACCCGAAACCCTAAACCCTAAACCCTTAACCCGAAACCCTAAACCCTAAACCCTAAACCGCCCCGAGATATCCCTCCATGCCTTCGGCCAGCTCGTCCGCCGTTTCCTCCATGGCCTGGGAGGGGCAGAAATGAGACGCCTCCGTCCGAAACAGCCCTAAACTACCCTAGGGTTTAGGGTTTAGGGTTTAGGGTTCAGGGTTCAGAGTTGAGGGTTTAGGGTTTAGGGTTTAGGGAAACCCTCAGCCCCTTCCAGGTTTAGGGTTTAGGGTTTAGGGTTTAGGGTTTAGGGTTTAGGGTTTACTGTTTAGGGTTTAGGGTTTAGGGTTTAGGGTTTAGGGTTTAGGGTTTAGGGTTTAGGGTTTAGGGTTTAGGGAAACCCGCAGCCCCTTCCACCAAACAAGCTGCAAAATCCGAACGGGGAGCTCAGGAGAGCAGCTTCCAGAAAATGCCTCCAAAACCCTATAATCCCCCGAGAGCCCTAAACTGCAACCCGCCTAAAAATGCCAACGAACCCTATAAATCCTAGAAACCCTGCATTGGAACCCTATCAACATGGGGCTCTACCCTGGACCCCTAAGGTTGTACCCTGGGGCTTGGGGACCCTTTCTCAAGTCCTTTTGAGGGCGCATCAAGGGCGAGGGGGTCTATTCAGGGAAACCTCTCAGGGGTACACCCTAAGGGGTCCGAGTATGACTCCCTTATTATCAACCACCCTAAACCCTATAAACCCTAAACCCTATAAACCCTAAACCCTAAACCCCAAACCCCAAACCCTAAACCCTAACCCCAAAGACGGTTCTGTTCAAAGCCGCCCGGGCCCGGGGCTGCCAGCTGCTTCTCTCGATCGACCTCCGCGTGCAGCGCGGCCTGACGCAGCGTTTAGGGTTTAGGGTTTAGGGTTTTATGGTTTAGGGGTTAGGGTTTAGGGTTTAGGGTCTAGGGTCTTTGGTTTCGGGTTTTAGGGTTTAGCGTTCAGAGTAGAGGGTTTAGGGTAGGGTTTAGGGTTTAGGGTTTAGGGTTTAGGGTTTAGGGTTTAGGGTTTAGGGTTTAGGGTTTAGGGTTTAGGGTTTAGGGTTTAGGGTTTAGGGTTTAGGGTTTAGGGTTTAGGGTTTAGGGTTTAGGGTTTAGGGTTTAAGGGTTAGGGGTTTAGGGTTTAGGGTTTAGGGTTTAGGGTTTAGGGTTTAGGGTTTAGGGTTTAGGGTTTAGGGTTTAGGGTTTAGGGTTTAGGGTTCAGGGTTTAGGGTTTAGGGTTTAGGGTTCAGGGTTTGCTGGAGTAGCAGGAATGTTAGGGCTGGGGGGCTGTACAACAAATTCGTATTCCCCTTGAGAAAACCTTACAATAAGAGTCCTTGGAGCCTTAAAGTAACGGTGTAGGAATTACAGGGTCTTACTACGTGCCTGGGGCAGCCCGAATCTTCGGAATCCTCCGAATCCTCGAATCCTCGAGCGTCGGGTCGAGAAGGAAGGTGACCCAATCATGAGTGTCGGGGTTGAGGGTTTTCTGGTTTCGAATTCAGGGCTTTGGGTGTGTCTAGGGCTTAGGGCTTGGGGTGCTTGTCTAGGAGGTTGGGGCCTCCCTAAGCTCGACCTGCAACTGCCCCAAAACCCACCGAATTGCCGGGCATGGGCCCAAAAATCGTCGGCCATCGGGACCCTCATTTGAAAGCAAGACCCTAGACCCTAAACCCCAAGAGCCCTAAACCCTCAGAACCCGAAACTGTAAGAACCCCAGGAACCCTGCGCTTGGGGGGCGCTTGGGGGGAGAGCACCTGCTCGTTTGTCAGCTGCTCCTGCGCGTAGACCTTCGGGCTTGCACGCGCTAACTCCGTCTGCGATCTCGGGCGCGAGGCCTTTTGGAGTTTCAATACTTGAAGGCTGGAATTCCTTGGCACCCCAAACTCTTAGCCCCAAAACCCTAAACCCCCAATCACCCGGGTGCAGTTGTTCGACATCCATTCGGCTTCGGGGGGTTGAGGGCTGAGTCCCCAACCCTCGTGGAAGCTCCACCACACCCAAAACCAACGCTTCCCGGAAAATACCCTATACCCTACAAGTAAACTGAGTGAGCCCGGAGCCGTCGCCGAAGCCGGCAGGCGAGGAAGCTCCGGAGCCATAAGCCCTCCGGTTGGCGACGGAGCTCTCAGTCCCGTAGACAGCTACGGGCTGCGCGGGGGGCCCGGCACTCCCAGTTTCGGGGCCTGGCAGGCCTCGCCCCCAGGCAGGGGCCTCCCAGCCACGCAAGGCCCAGCAGGAAAAGGGCATGCAGTTTCAAGCAGATTCTCAGATGACTAACCAGGATGCGGCCCCAAACCTTTGGCTTTTTAAGGCCGCTGTGTGACCTACTTCGCTGTCACACCTCCCGCTCGCATGCACAAATAGGAAAAAGAACAAAGGATGATCAGAAAGTAAGGAAACCCCAAACCCGCAAAAGGTCAAGGCGAGGGTGGAGCGCAAGCGGGGGTGGGGCTCCACAAGTCGGGGCGTGCGGCTGGGTGCTTTTGGCACCCACGCGCCCCCTCAATTGAGACACCCTAAACCCTAAACCCGAAACCCGAAACCCGAAACCCTAAACCCTAAACCCTAACCCGAGGAGTTGGGGTGTTTTTGCCTGCTGATGGCCGCTGGGCTCATCAAACTGCTGGTCGTAGGGCACACCTTCCCAAGTTTCGTTTAGGGTTTAGTGCTTAGGGTTTCGGGTTTAGGGTTTAGGGTCGAGGGTCTAGGGTCTAGGGTTTAGGGTTGAGGCTTTAGGCTTTAGGCTTTAGGCTTTAGGCTTTAGGCTTTAGGCTTTAGGCTTTAGGCTTTAGGCTTTGGGCTTTAGGCTTTAGGCATTAGGGTGAGGGTGTCGTGTGTTCAAAGATATGGGAAACTCTTCCGATTCTGAAACAAGCGGCCGTACCTTTGCAGGAGCCATTCAAAGCAGGGGCAAAGGCCTGCAAGTGTTGTACCCTCACCCCCCCCTCCCCACCGCAAAGCCTGCAACAAAAACCCTGAAACCGCGAAAAACACTCCCGAAACCCGAAACCCGAAACCCTATACCCTCTAAACCCTAAACCCTCAAACCCCAAAATCCCAGAAATGGGCAAGGTACTGCGGTTCTACAACACGCTCCCAACACGAGCCTCTAAAGCAGGCCCGAAGGCCAACCTGAGCCTGATAATCTATGTGCCCTACAGCCTAAACGACCCAAGAATTGACTAAAAGTTGTGTCTATGTATGTACATGCGACCATATGAAATTATATTCATATATACACATACTTAAAAGGGGCTTGATGTATCCCCGAACTTTCTGGTATGCAATGAGGAGGGTGTCCAGGCCTTGCAAGGAGGTCGGCAACCGCAGGCCTGTGGCCGAGCACAACTGCTGCGCCCGGGTTTAGAGTTTAGGGTTTAGGGTTTAGGGTTTAGGGTTTAGGGTTTAGGGTTTAGGCTTTAGGGTTTAGGGTTTAGGGTTTAGGGTTTAGGGTTTAGTTTTGGGGTTTAGGGTTTAGGGTAGACGGGGGTTACTGTATGGGGGTTGAAGGGTTTCGGGAGTTTCGGGGAGTTTAGACCCTCGAAGTAGCAGCTAGGAGGGTTTCGGATTGAGCGCTTTGTTCCCCTTAGCCTCACAGTCTGACACGTTGCAGGGTGTCAGGCGTGAACTCCATCCTCCTCTTTGCACTGCACAACCTAAATACCCAAACCCGAAACGCCCCAAACACCCTAAACCACCATAAACCACTCTAAACACCCCAAACCCCTCAAACCCGAAAAAACACCTGGCGTTGAGGGGCTCGACCCTGAACAAGTGAAGCGTTGTTTCTGGGGGTTGCCTCGCTGGCTCGCAGTGCTCGCGCTGAGCCACCTGCACTTTCTTCTGAGCGGGGTAAGAGGGAGAGGGGAGGGGGATGGGAGTTCGCAAGTGCCTGGTATAGGGTTTACAGGGTTCAGGGTTTATAGGGTTCAGGGTATATAGGGTTCAGGGTTTCGGCACCAATTACATCAGAGAGTAGGGTTTAAGGTTCAGGGTTGGGGCACCCCAGGTACCCATTCTACTTCAAAAGGGAACAGGTTGAGATGACCCTGTCTCTTCGTAAACCCGGAGGCCTTTCCCAAGCATCTAACCCCTACGCCCTTGACCCTAAACCCTAAACCCTAACCCCTACGCCCTAAACCCTAAACCCTAAACCCTAGACTCCTGCTGTCTTGGGCTTGGGGTTCGGTCCAGGGTCGTTTCTAGTCTTGGTGTGAGGCCTTAGGCCCCACCATCCTGTCAAGGGTATACCCTACTTCCCTCAGTCCCTGCTAAGAACCAGGCAGGAGGGGCAAGCTTTAGGTTGCTTAACGCTTTTGGCTTTCTTGAGGGTCGGGAAACGGGGGATTCATCGTCTGTAGGGCTTTGACCCTAAACCCTGAACCCCAAACCCTAAACCCTAAACCCTGAAGCTTTACGCCACAAGGATCTTTGTTGGGATGTCCGGGGCTTTTGGAGGGAGCCGAGGCACTCGGCCAGCCGCGCAGCCGCACCGAGTCCCGCGGGCATCGCATCCCTTGGAGGACGGATTCTTGGGGGGTTTAGGGCGTTTGGGGTTTAGGGCTAGGGTTTAAGGCTAGGGTTTAGGGGTTTAGGGGTTTAGGGGTTTAGGGCTTGAGGGCTTGAGGGGCTGAGGGGTTGAGGGTTTGAGGGGTTGAGGGGTTGAGGGGTTGAGGGGCTGAGAGGTTTAGGGAGGGTTCGGGGTTTAGTTTAGGGGTTTTGTTGGGGGGTTTTCTGGGGGCGTTGCGGGTTCCGGAGGTGGTTGCAGTGGGCTGAACATGCGAAGCTCACAGCCAAAAAGCACCTCGCCTAGTCGCACTTGACCCACGCTGAGATTTGGGATGTCCCCCCCTTATACTAACAGTCCTTAATGGGGATGATAACCGGGGGTACTATAACCCTAAACCCTAAACCCTACACCCTACACCCTAAACCCTACACCCGAAACCTGTCCCCATTAAGGACTCTTAGTATGAGGGGGGACATCCCAAGCTGAGATCGAGGCGGGCCGGCGCGAGGATAGTTTCGACGCTGGCGCTGACTCGCTTTGGGGGGTTCGGGCCGCTAGGGCTTAGGGTTTGGAGTTTGGGGTTTGGGGTTTACTAGTTCATGGTTGGTATAGTAGTAAAATTCTAAATTTATATTCCTTATTGGGTTTAAGTACCCTTAAAAATGTAAAATGTTACCCAACTATGACAAAGTTTAGGGTTTACGGGTTTGAGGTGCAATTTGGGGCTCAGGGTTCCGCAGGCCTCTCTAGGACCTCTTCTCGGGCATCGGGCAAAAGCGCCGTGGGGCCGACATGGCTCATGGAACAGCATCTCTTTGGGGGGGGCCTTATAGGCCGTGGTTCTTGAATCCCGGAAAGAGGACGAACCTACCCTCCAAGAACCCGCGAGGGTTTAGGGTTTAGGGAGTTTAGGGAGTTTAGGGAGTTTAGGGAGTTTAGGGAGTTTAGGGAGTTTAGGGAGTTCAGGGAGTTTAGGGAGTTTAGGGAGTTTTGGGAGTTTAGGGAGTTCAGGGAGTTCAGGGAGCTTAGGGAGTTTAGGGAGTTCAGGGAGTTCAGGGAGTTTAGGGAGTTTAGGGAGTTTAGGGAGTTTAGGGAGTTTAGGGCGCAGCCTGCCCCTTTTTTCCAGGCGGGGCGCAGCGCCCTCCTGGGTCACACAAAAACGACCGCCCAGAGTGTTCTGGCGGTGTTGCTGTTTTGGGGTCTTCGTGGGTCCTAGATCGGAGATGCGGCTTCGGGGGAGGGCTTCTGGAGGTGTTTAGCGGGTCTGCTCAACCGTGTTGAGCCGGGGGATCTGGCTTGCGGACTTCGCGCCCCCGCTCTTTGGCTTCCAAAAAGTTGAGAGCTGCCAGGTCGCTGGTGCTGAGAGTGGATAGCTCTCTACTCTGAAGGAGGTTTCCCCCTGCTTGGGGCCAACTCTTCACGTTTTTTTTGGGCACACTTACACTAAGAAACTAAGCCCTAAACCCTAAACCCTAAACCCTAAACCCTTAACCCCAAGAAGTTAAGTACAGCAACAATTCGCCTGGGCCATCCCGGTCACCAGCGTCTTCCGGTTAAGCAATGCGACGGGCAGCGCTACGGGTCAAAACGGCCGCTTAAGGGCAATCTGGCCCTCTCAGATGGCACTGCGACCTGCAGGGACTCGTGGGTTGCAGAAGACTTAGGACCGTGTTAGGACCGCGTTAGGATCGTGTAGGGTTTAGGAGGTTAGCCCCACAAGTAACCAGCGAATACCAGCGAAATCCAGAGAATTGAGTATCCAAGGGCAAGGACGGCGCAATGCAGAGTACTAGACTGCAGCGAGTTGGTGCTTTGAGGGAGCGCATGAGCACTGCCAGAGACAAAGAGAAGAGAGAAGAGAGAAGAGAGAGTCGCGGAATTTTCCCAAAAAAATCTTCTCCCCTTCTTGGCTACCCCCAAAATGTGGTCATCCCTCTTGGATGCAAGTCCAAAAGAGCCCCCGCAAGGACCCCTGAAACCCAATGCCCGTTCTTCCCAGAAGAAGCCTCAGGGGCCCTTTGGGCTCACGCAGACAGGGATAAGGGTTTAGGGTTTAGGGTTTAGGGATTAGGGCTTAGGGGTTTTGCGGTTTAGGGTTTATTGGGGTTATGGGATTATAGGGTTTATAGGGTTTATAGGGTTTATAGGGTTTATAGGGTTTATAGGGTTTATAGGGTTCATAGGGTTTATAGGGTTTATAGGGCTTGCAGCGTTTAGGGCCGCTGGCCTTTGGGCTCACGCAGACAGGGACCTCCAAGACTCCTGGCGTCCGCATGGATTTCACGTTTTGGGGTTTTGGGGTTTATGGGGTTTATGGGGGTTTATTTATGTTTGTTTAAAGGGTTTTGGGGTTTGTGGGGTTTGTTTTGTTTTGGGGTTCATTTGTAGGGTTTGAGGTTTGGGGCTTAGGGCTTCGGGCTTTGGATTTAGGGCTTAGGGCCCAGGGGCCCCCACCAACAACAGCTCTTTCGTGAGTCGGTATGCTTGCCCTTTCGCATGTAAGGCTCTGACAGGGGTCATTCAGACTTCTTCTGTGACCTTCACAAATTGATCAAAGAAGGGCACATACACCCAACCCTAAGCCCTAAACCCCAAACCCTAAACCCTGAAGTTCCCTAAAACCCTATGCCCTTAACCCTTAACCCTCAACCCTTCTCCCTGCACCTGCACTGCCCGAAACCAGCGAGTTTGACAAAGACACCCTCTTGAAAACTAAGAGGGGGGGGGGGGGGGGGGGGTTTGGGGTTAGGGTTTTAGGGTTTTTTAGGGTGTTAGGGTTTAGGGTTTAGGGTCTAGGGTTGACCTAATCCCTACATCTTCGAAATCTGGACAGCGTTGATCGCCACCCAAGGCGCCCAGTGGGGTTTTCTGCTTGGCCATCCTCAGCTGCGCAGTGTAGGGTTGGGGCTTAGGGGCTTAGGGTTCGTTTAGGGCCTAGGGTTGGTTTAGGGTTTAGGGTTTAGGGTTTAGGGTGGTTTAGGGTTAGGGTTTAGGATTTGGTTTTAGGGTTTAGGGTTTTAGGGCTTAGGCTTAGGGTTCAGGGCTTAGGGCTTAGGGTTTAGGGTTTAGGGTTTAGGGTTTAGGGATTGACGAGGGCGCTCAAGGCCTTGAGGGCTTTAGGGGGTGTAGGGCCAGGGTTGAGTGTTAATGGGGTGTGTGGGGGGGGGGGGGGGGTTTAAGAAGAAACCAGCCCTAAGGCTGTTCTACTATTTGTTTAAGAACCCCTACCATAGAATACAAACATCCTCCTTATCAAGGCAATATAGGGATTTCTATTTGTGTTTTTTTGGGAGGGGATTTCGGAATCAGGGTTTCGGGCTTAGGGAACGGGGCTTAGGTCCTGTGAGCAGTTGATTCAGTGAGCGACGGCACGAGAGAGACTTTGCTGATGAGAACCCGAAGCTAGACATCCAGCTAGACATCCAGCCAGACATTGGACTCCCATTTTTGGGGGGTATTTTTCTTGCGGAGAGGGGGAGAGGGGGAGAGGGGGAGGGGATTAACCCTAAACCCCAAACCCTCAACCCTAAACCCTAAACCCTAAACCCCAAACCCTGAACCCCAAACCCGAACTCGGCTGCAGGTAAGATGCTGCTTCAGCTTGTCCTTGACAGTGACCGTGCCTTGGCAGCCGCAGGCGAACGAGTGTGTCAATAGATGGGGGGGGGGGCTGTGCACGTTAGCAGTCTGCTCCAGTTTTGAAGAAATGCGGTTTAGGGTTTAGGGTTTAGGGTTTAGGGTTTAGAGTTTAGGCCCCAGACAACTCGACCAATCCTGAACCGGGGTCGACTCCCGTACCCCAAATTTTACGTTTTACTGCTCCCAGGTTAGCACAATACGCTTCACTGCCCTCAAAACCCCCCGAAACCCTAAACCCCCTGAAAACCCCAAAACCCTATAAACCCCATAAACCCCGAACCCCAACCCCTAAACCCCTAAACCTTATACATCGTAAACCCCTAAACCCTATAAACCCTATAAACCCTACAAACCCTATAAACCCTATGAACCCTATAAACCCTATAAACCCTATAAACCCTATAAACATAAACCCTATAAACCCTATAAACCCTATAAACCCCATAAACCCCATAAACCCTATAAACCCTATAAACCCTATAAACCCTAAACCCAAACCCTAAACCCCTAAACCCTAAACCCTAAACCCGAAACCCCTAAACCCTAAACCCTAAACCCCTAAACCCTAAACCCTAAACCCTACAAACCCTTAAAACCCTCTCCCCCAAGTCCACGGCTGCCGGCCGGCTTCGCTCGCTCCCAAGCCTCCTCGAGGCCTCAGCCAAAAGAAAAGTGCGGAGGAAAAAAAAAGAGCTTTAGGGTTTAGGGTTTAGGGTTTAGGGCTTAGGGCTTAGGGCTTAGGGCTTAGGGCTTAGGGCTGAGGGTTTAGGGTTTAGGGTTTGAGGCCCTCAAAGACCTGGCTCAGCGGCTTCAACCCTAGACCCTAAACCCTGGGTGCTCTCAGCCAGGGGCCCTTCTCGTAGTCATCCGGGTTGATCAGGCCATCCAGCGGGTCCTGGCGCGGGTTTAGGGTTTAGGGTTTAGGGTTTAGGGTTTAGGGTTTAGGGTTTAGGGTTTAGGGTTTAGGGTTTAGGGTTTAGGGTTTAGGGTTTAGGGTTTAGGGTTTAGGGTTTAAGGTTTAGGTTGGGTTTAGGGTTTAGAGTTTAGAGTTTAGGGTTTAGGCCCCACCCCCCCCCCCCCCCCCAAACAACACGCCACACCCTTGAACCCTTAGGGTCAGTTTGGGTTTAGGGTCAGGGTTTGGGGAGTGGCGGTTCAAAAGCCCTGAACCCTGAACCCTGAACCCTGACCCTCAAGACCCTAGACCCTAAACCCTAAACCCTAAACCTAAACCCTAAACCCTAAACCCTAAACCCTAAACCCAAACCCTATCGTGGCAAAGCCCCGCACGCATCGTCCTTGGAGTTGGCGAAGAGCGGGTGCTCTCTCCAGGCATCCTCCCTTGGCTCCGCGGGATGATTGTAGGGCTTTGTGGGTTTAGGGTTTAGGGTTTAGGGTTTAGGGTTTAGGGTTTAGGGTTTAGGGTTTAGGGGTTAGGGGTTAGGGCTTAGGGGTTAGGGCTTAGGGCTTAGGGCTTAGGGCTTAGGGCTTAGGGCTTAGGGCTTAGGGCTTAGGGCTTAGGGTTTAGGGTTTAGGGTTTAGCGTTACAAGGCTTTGTGGGTTAGGGGTTACAGTTTAGCGTCTAGGGTCTCAAGGGTTGGGATGACATCGAGCTCTCTTCCGCTGGGAACACACGGAGAATGCCCCGCAACAACCAGGGTTTAGGGTTTAGGGTTTAGGGTTTAGGGTGTTGGGTGTTGGGTGTTGGGTTTTGGGTTTTGGGTTTAGGGTTCCCCCACTCTCCCCTCTTAGAAATACTGAACCCTCATGGTTTGAATCACATCTTCGGCACCTGAACCCCGGCATCCCAATCCCTAAGCTCTCTTTCCTAGGCCCTACAAGCCACAGAAACCTATAAAACCCTGTAAAACGTTGTAAGTCCTCCCACAAACCCTACAAACCCTAAACCCTAAACCCTAAACCCTAAACCCTAAACCCTAAACCCTAAACCCTAAACCCTAAACCCTAAACCCTAAACCCTAAACCCTAAACCCTAAACCCTACCCGCCTAAACCCTAAACCCAAACCTGGGCTCACGACAACTCCTTGGCGCGCTTGGTGCCCGGGACTACGCGCCAGAAGGCATCCTGTCGACAGCAGATTCAGGATTCCAGGGGTTTACGGCCAGAACTAGTGATTGCTTAAGAACCCCCAAAAAGGCATGATAAAAAAATCCTCCACATAAGGGCAATCTAGTGTTTTTTCATTTGTTATTTTTGGGGGGATTCTTAAGCAGATCGTAGAGGCTGCAACGCCCGTAGCCAGGCGCTGCTGGTGCTTCGTCCGACTGATTGCCTAAACCTTACAGCCCCATACCCCAATAAATCCCTAGACTCGTATAGACCCCTAAACCCACAAACCCCCTAAACTCCGAAGCCCGAATCAAACACTCAAGTGTGCACCAAACCCCCAAATGCCCTGTGTCAGTTCCCTTTTTGTCCTCCTGGAAAGAGTACAGCACCTGGGCTTCACGGCTTAAGGGCGAGGGATCAGGCTTGAAGAATTCCTGGGGCTTGGGGCTGCGGGGTTGGGGGGTTGAGGGTGGTTGAGGGTGGTTGAGGGTGGTTGAGGGTGGTTGAGGGTGGTTGAGGGTGGTTGGGGGTGGTTGAGGGTGGTTGGGGGTGGTTGAGGGTGGTTGAGAGAGAGCTTGGGGCTTAGTGCGGAAAGGAAGCCCGGGTCCCCAGCGCCCCTCTCATAAATTGAAACGGCTTAGGGCACAGGGCGGAGGGGGGGGGAGGGGGCGTTGAAAAGCACTCTCTGCTATGGCCCAAGGACCGGGGCTCAGGCGAACATGCCCATCGCAACAGCCGGGAAGACCAGCGTCGTGAGCGGGACAAGGACGGCGGCACTGAGGACAGGGGCTTCGGGTTTCGGGTTTAGGGTTTGTTCCTTTCTTTAATGGGGCCCACCGAGATTGCGTGTACCCAAAAAGTTCAAATCGTGCAGACCTGCCCACATGTGACTTGTGAGGACGACTTCACGCTTCGGTGATACAGGCCTCCAGGCGAAACACAGCTTCTGCGTAAACAAAAGTAAGAAGTGAATGCCATCATGGAGGCAACTTATTCGGTCTGCCTTCGAGAGATGATGAACCTCATGTGCTGATTAGAAACATCACTTCTATGGAACGGATGGACTGCAAGCCCACGTCAACCTAAACCTCAAATCCTTAAACCTAAACCCCAAACTCTAAACCGTAAACCCTAAGCCCTTAAGCCCTAAACCCTAAACCCCAAACTCGAAACCCTAAGCCCTAAACCCCAAACCCTAAACCCTAAACCCGAAACCCTAAGCCCTAAACCCCAAACCCTACACCCGAAGCCCCCAAACCCTTCTCCGAGGTCCCCTACAACTTGCGCTGGTCGCCATACTTCGCCTCGGCATCCTGGCTGAAAGAAGACGCAAATAGCACAAAACACGAGAAGCCCTAAACCCTGAACACTGTAAGCCCTACATGAACCCTAAACCCTAAACCCTAAACCCTAAACCCCTAAACCCCTAAACCCCAAAACCCCTAAACCCCTAAACCCTAAACCCTAAACCCCAAACCCGAACCGATAGCTGCGGGAAGGCTTGGACAGTCGAGAGCTAGAGGGCGCCGGGGCAGCTTTTTTTAGGGGGGACCTGGGGTGCAGGGCATGTAGGGAGCTTAGGCTCAGCCCTGAACCATTAAGGATTTAATGCATAGGGCTTGTATGGTTTCGGGAAAGTTTAAGGTTTAAGGTGTATTCTTAGGGGTTATAGGGTTTAGGCAGGGTTTATAGGGTTTGCGGTTTGGGGTTTGGGGTTCGGGGTGGAACCCCCGCTCCCCCCAACCTCAAACCCCAACAGCCTAGCCCCCAAAACCGTAATTCCTCTGAAGCACTCGAAAAAACCTTTAAACACTCAACACCCCAACCCTCCTCTCTTGAAAAAAGCCCCTAAACCCTAGACCCCTTAACCCCCAAAACCTGAACCCTAAACCCGAAACCCGAAACCCTCGACCCCTTAACCCCCAAACCCTAAACCCTAAACCCTATGAGCCCTTCGCACACCTGGGCCAGCATCGTCAGGGCCGGCACCGCGGCCGAGGCTGCCTCGGCTTGAGGTGTCAGCTCCCTGGGCTTCGGCCTAACCCTAAACCCTAAACCCTAAGCCCTAAACCCTAAACCCTAAACCCTAAACCCTAAACCCCAATAGAGTCGTCAAAGGGATGCCATACCTGCGACCTCTTTCGAAGGGATTTAGGGCTTACGCTAGGGTTTGGGGCTTGGGGCTTGGGACTTGGGGTTCGTTCAGCACCAAGTGCCATAGGGAAGGCATCTCTTTTCACGCATTTTCCTCTCGCCACGCACGGAAAGTCCTGGTGTTCAGGTTGCGCACCCCATCGTGGTGCTCCTGTGTCTGACGGAAGCACACCATCACATGCCACACCTTCACCACCTTAGTTGTCCAGTAACCCGGGGGGAATTCAAGGTTAACCCTTGGGATTCTAAAGGGGATTCTACTACCCCAACAAGGTTAAAGGTTACCTACTCTACTGCTAGGCCACTCAATGGCGGCGGGGGCAGCCGCGCTGGAGGAACCAGTGCCGGCGACGCGTCGTAGAGCTTCCCGTTCTTGTACGAACTGCTGCACTTGAAATCGAAACCTCGGACGGCCCCTTAAAGCCCTCTGAAAGAATATCCCTAAATATGATCCTCTTAAACTCTATATAAGGGAAATTAAGTGTGATCCTCTTAAACCCAATATAAGGGGAACTTGAATGTGATCCTCTTAAACCCAATATATAAGGGAAACTAAAGCAAAAATGTCCCCCAAAAAATTAAAAGGTGCCTACCTAGAAACTGGTCCGTGACCTGCTGGATGCCGGTGACGGCCGCCACCGTCCGGTTGCCCTGCCCGGGTGCCGCGCGCAGCACGTCGCGCTCGACCCTCACGAGCATCGCCTCGCCGTGCAGCTTCGCACCGAAGTTCGACATGAGTGGGGGCCCCTTCTCTATAGCCAGTCTTGCTACATGTGGCACCTTGAGCACCAAGAAACGGCTCTGAACGAGAATGCCAGATGCAGACGGGCAAGCTTGATTGAACGGAAGGGCTCTCTAAGACTCTAAGGGGACTCGGCCAGATTCGGTAAGTTTAGAAGCGGCCACCCATCATCAGAAGCCGTCCTTGCCCCGAACTCTTGCAGTCACGGTACCACAGCAGGATTGAACTCGGCCGTCTGTGCCTAGTCGTTTAGGGTTTAGGGTTTAGGGTTTAGGGTTTAGGGTTTAGGGTTTAGGGTTTAGGGTTTAGGGTTTAGGGTTTAGGGTTTTGGGCATGTCTGCAGTCGGACTCTCTCTTTCACGTGACATGAGAGGCATGGAGCGCGCCATCGATTCGCACAACCAGAGCTGCCAAGGCGAAAGGCAAAGGTGCCCCCAGCATACATGGAGCTACTCACGCTCGCTCACGTGTTTGGGTTCTTCGTAGTACCCACAAGTAACCAAGGAGAACAACGATAAACCCAAAAAAAGAACAATTGCAATAGAGCCAATAACAACAGCAACAGCAATGATAAGAATCGTGAAAAATAGGGCGATACTCGCAACAGCAGCAATAGTAAAGCAACAATATAAGGGAATTATAGGGATTACTAGATTACTGCTTTTTTGTGCTGGGGGGTTCTTAAGCAAATAACGGTAACAGCCGCAAGAGCAACACCCTTGGCCTTCGGCGCCTGTCCAGGGCTGGGCACGAAGCAGTAGCGCAAGCCTCGAAAATGTCCCCTTAAAGGCCCTATATTCCTACATGTCATCCTCTTAAACCCAAACAGGGAAGTATGAATCTGAAAGGTCAATGGCTGGCTCTTCGCAGAAAATCCTGGGGTTCAGGGCTTCGGGGTTTTGCAGTTTAGGGTTCAGGCCAAAGGGTGCGAAGGAACCCGAACCCTGAAAGTGGCCCGAGAGAGGGGACTTGGTGCCCAAACGGGATTTCGGGGTCCCAAACTCCCTATCCCCCGACTGAACACGCTGGGGGGCTTTTGGGGCTTTTGGGCTCGGGGCTCATGGGCGCGTAAGGATCTCCTCGAAACAAAGATTCACAGGCCCTAAACCCTCAAGCCCTTAAGGCCTTAAACCCAGTAACCCTCACAGTAAACACCCTTAAAGACCTTAAGCACCAGACCCCAAAAACTCTTAAAAACCCGCTTGAAAGCCCTTAAAGACCCTTAATCCCTTAAGACCCTCAAAACCCCTTAAAAACCCGCTTGAAAGCCCTTAAAGACCCTCAATGGAAAAACCCTCGCCATTTCGGGCGCCGGCTCAAGCACAGGGCTGCCCCGAGGGCCAGGAGCAGACGTCCTGTTGTCAGGGGGGGTTTAGGGTTTAGGGTTTAGGGTTTAGGGCTTAGGGCTTAGGGCTTAGGGCTTATAGGGGGTGATTTCTCTCTGGCGGGGACTCTGAGTGGCGTTAAGAACTCGTTCAGAACCCGAAGCGCTCTAACATCCCTAATGAAACATCAACCCTAACCCCTATCTACTTGTACAATAATATGATAAACCCCAAAACCTATTCCAATCATTAAGGCCCTATAGTAATCCCCCCAAAGCATAACCCTCAACCCCCATGTCCTGGACGAGCCATTGCGATGAGTTTCGTGAGGGGGTGACCTTGGCCGCTGCTTGTGAAGAGGCCCAGCTGGGTCATGGATCGGCCAGCTTCTTGGGCATTAGAGGTCATGGCCGCGAGACTCTGGTTCCCCCCCCCCTAAGCCTGCTAAACCTCCTAAACTTCCTACACGAACCCCTCCTAAAGCCTCCTGCAGCCTCCTAAAGCCTCCTGAAGTCCACTCCTAAAGCCTCCTAAAGCCCTAAAGCCTCCTAAAGCCTCCTGAAGCCTCCTAAAGCCTCCTAAAGCCTCCTAAAGCCAAAGCCTCCGAAAGCCCTCTTGAAGTCCACTCCTAAAGCCTCCGAAAGCCTCCTCCTGAAGTCCACTCCTACAGCTTCCTAAAGCCTCCTGGCTTCTGAAACCTCCTGAAAGCTACCAAGAGCCTCCTCAGCCCCTAAGAACCCCAAAAGCACTGAGCCCGCTGCAACTAATGGGGCAGAGCGAGGGGCGCCGCTTGGAGCCGAAACATCGAAATTCGAGGGGGTTTCCAAGTCTATGGGCCCTTTATTTAGGGTTTATATATATATATATATATTCTTTTTTCTTAGGGTTTAAAACAATTAGGGTTTAGGGCGGAGCCCCTTGTTTTATAACCCGCGGATATTGGGATGTTCCCCCTTAGAATTACTAGCAGTCCTTCATAGGGATTCTAGTACCCACCTATAACGATCCCTACTAAAGGATTGCTAGCATAAGGGAACATCCCAATATATAACCCGTATATAAACTAGACATAATAATAAGGGACACATGATATGGGCCCGTTTGGTTTTTTTAAATAAGCTATACGTAATCATCAAGGATACATAATAAGGGCCCGTACTTCGGATCCTTGTAGACACGGGTGAGGGGCCATACTAGGGGCCCGAAGTTTCAACCTTAGAGACCCCGCAGGGCTCGGGGCTTTTCGGTTTAGGCAGTTGAGGGCTCTAGGGTTTTTGGGTTTAGGGTTTAGGGTTTAGGGGTAGGGTTTTAGGGTTTATGGCTTCGGGTTTCGGGCTCTTGGGATTTGGGGGTCCAGGGTTTAGGGATTTGGGGTCGCAGGGGTTTAGGGGCTCAAGGTTTGAGGGTCGTATGCTAGGGCTTAGGGCTGAGGGTTTTAGGGTCGCAGGGCTTTGTGGCTTCAGGCCTGTAGGGTTTTAGAGTTTAAGGCCTAAGAAGTTTAGGAAGATTGGCGCTGAGGGCATAGGAATATGATGGCCTGCAGTTGGAGTATATAGATTCTAGCGCCGAATTTCCCTGCTTTAGCCCCACTACTGGAAATTCCATTTTTGGGGGTTCTCGCCCTCGCATGGCGCGTATAAACCTACGATAACCTACGTCATAATCTCCTTCTGGGTGCCCCAAAAAGAAGGCTCCGTGTTCTACTAGAAACCGCACAAGGGACCAACACTAGGAAGCAATTACCCTAAACCCGAGAACCCCAAACACAAGGCCCTAAAACCGGAGAACCCCTAAAAACCCCCTAACCCTAAAACCCCTAACCCTAAACCCTAACCCCGCTCTGTTGTGCGTTCAGCGTTCTGAAGCTGCTTCACTCCAGCACCGCAAAGTTTGCAAGAACTGCGAAAACGCAAGCTACGGGGAGAAAGGAGCCATAGTAAGGTTGAGGGTTTAGGGTTTAGGGTTTAGGGTTTAAGGTTTAAGGCTAGGGCGCACACGGCCCTCACGTTTCCGACTTGCATCGACGCCCACATGGCACGTCTTGTGCACCGTGGGCTGGGGGGTCATTTACACAAGGCCTGCACCCGCTCAACTTTCCTGGGCCTTCTTCCCTGCTTTCTGTTGGCCACTTGATCGGTTCGGCGAAGTATGCTGCAAAATCACGATGCATCTTGAGCTAGGCTCTACAGCCTTACACCCTAAACTCCCTGACACCCTAAAACCCTAAACCGATCAACACCCTCAGCTCCCCAAAATCGCTAAACCCCAAACCCTAGCCCTAAACCCTAGCCCTCAACCGCTAAACCCGAAAAAAAACCCTAGCAAAACACCCTAAACTCCCTAAAGCCCCTAAAAACCCTAAAACAAAACCTAAAAACCGAAAAAACCCTAAAACCCAAACGCCCCAAACTCCCTAAAAGGCCCGTAAAGTACACCCTCAGCAGGCACCCTTATACCCCTAAACCCCTAAACTAGAAACCCTAAACTCCCCAAAGCCCCTCAGAATGGGCGCAGGTTCACCGTCAGGAGCCCCTCGTAGCCTTCCGCCTCCACGGGGACAAGCAGGGCGTGCGAGCGGAAAATAGGGTTTAGGGGGGTTTAGGGGTTTAGAGGTTTAAGGGTTTAGGGTTTTGGGGTCTGGGGGTTAGGGGTTTAGGGTTTAAGGGTTTAGGGTCTTGCCACTGTGCGCTGCTGCATCGACGGGAACCAAGGCATTCTGTGTCTCCGCCAACTCTTCCGCCGCCTTCTTTGCGTCCTCCAAGGCTTTCGCAGCCTTCTGCTGTGCGTCCTCCAGCGCTTTCGCACCCTCGAGTCGCTGCCTCGCCGCTTGCGACTTGGCTTTTTCCAGGTCCTCCGCGAGGATAGCTGCGTCCCTCGCCAGAGAAGTGAGGGAATTCACGATGCTCTTTGAGTGCTGGCTCAGAGCATGCGCAGAATGCGCAGCGCGCTCGAGCGTGTCGTCGAGCGGCATGAGCCAAAATGGCTACGCCTGGCGAGAGCCGTCCTCGAAGATGCCGAGCCTCTGCTGTTGAGGCTTTCCAAGTCGTTTAGGGTTTAGGGTTTAGGGGTTTTAGGGTTTTGGGCTTTAGGGTCTGGGAGTTAGGGGTTTTAAGGTTTAGGGCTTACTGTATGGTTTAGGACTTCTTTGAGGCAAGAGGCGTTGCAACAGTCAAATAGCTGTACTTTGAGGAAAGATTTCCCTGTACAGCTGCATCACTTCATCCAACATGTACAAGCCACACATGGGAAAACCCTAGGCAGAGTATGGATTTCCAACAATGTTTCCCGGGACACATGAATACGGGTGACAAGATGTCCTTCCATGAATTTCCGAGTCTTACGAAAGCCTCCTAACAAGCTACTTCAGCGCAATATCGTTGGCTTTCATTCTCGGCGCTTCCTAAAAAATATGCCAACCTGTCGCATCCCAACATTGTTGAGGGACACGGAAATCACAAAGAGGGATTTTTGTTTGGACAGCCTCCTTTCACTGGGGTGGGACAATGTCGTCATTGCTTTCGTGAAGGGTGTGTGTATGTGTGAGAGCGTCTGTCTCGCCCACGATAACAAGAGAGGAGGGGTGCGCCCGAAAATCCTACCACCCACATTGCAATGTTTATCTTGGGATGTTCCCCCCTTATACTAGCAGTCCTCAATAGGCATTTCAGGACCCCCCTAGCGATAATCCCCAAAAGGGACTGCCACTATAAGGGGTAACATCCCAATGTTTCTCCAACTCCGCAATCCCGTTCTGTTCTCATGGACCCTCAAGCTCATTCCTGGAGCGATCGGTTGCGGCCCAGCTCTGGGCCGAAACGACTCCACTGAGCTTCTCGCGCAGTTGGTTTTAGTTGAAAGGGGGATTCATTGTAGGGTTTGTAGATGTTTTGAAGGTTGACTGAGAAAAAGTTGCCCGCAAAATACGGCAGCGATTTTTGGGGGGCAGCTCCTGGAGCAAGCAAGGTTCGCAAGCAAAGCCACCCCTCGCAGCCCCCGCCAAAAAATGACAAAGGCAGCTCCCTAAGCCCTAAGCCTCAAGCCCTGTACCCTATACCCTAAACCCCTAAACCCTAAACCCTAAACCCCTAAACCCTAAACCCCTAAACCCTAAACCCTAAACCCTAAACTCCCCCTCCTTGAAGCGGCGCACGATCTCATCCCGAACTTTTGGCCCTGGACGCGCGTGGGGGAGGGGAGGAGGGAAGGGGGAGGGAAGGGGAAGGAAGGGGGGGTGGCCTGGAACCCTGAAGCAGGCCCGAACCAAAAGCTTTCAGAGTGTAAGAGGGCTTGGAGTTGGAGGGTTTCGAGTGTTTTCAGTGGTTTCGGGGTTGAGAGAGTGGCTTTAGATACCCCTAGACCCTAAACCCTAAACACTCAACGCTAAACCCTCAACGCGAAACCCTAAACCCTAAACCCTAAACCCTAAACCCTGAACCCTGAACCCTAAACCTTAAACCCTAAACCCTAAACCCTGAGAGGACTTGGGGCGTCTCGGAATTAGAGGTCGTGGTGGGGTTTTTGGGGTTTACGGGAACGCGCACCGGCCCCGGGAGTCCCTGTTGCACAAAATCCTACTTACTCACAGTATCTTTCTGGGTTTAGGGTTTAGGGTTTAGGGTTTAGGGTTTAGGGTTTAGGGTTTAGGGTTTAGGGTTTAAGGTTTAGGGTTTAGGGTTTAGGGTTTAGGCTGGGAGGGGGGAGGGGGGGGGGGGGGAGGGGGGATGACGCAATAGACAGGAACCCGGAACCAGAAAAACTCGCCGGCGCTGCCCCATGTCCAGAACTGGCCATCGCCGCAGCCGGCGCTGCCGCTAAGGTGTTCCAGGCCCGAGTCCTGGGATTTGGGTTCAGGGCTTAAGCTTTAGGGGTTTGGGGGTTTGGGGCTGTTTGGGGTTTGGGGCTTGGGGGTTTGGGGCTTGGGGGTTGGGGTTTGGGGTTTGGGGCTTGGGGTTTGGGGTTTGGGGTTTAGGGGTTTGGGGGTTTGGGGCTTGGGGTTTGGGGTTTAGGGGTTTGGGGTTTGGGGTTTGAAAGTTTAGGGTTCAGGGTTCAGGTTTAGGGTTTAGGGCTGTTCTGGCTCAATGGCTTGAGCCTGAGCCTCAACAAGCAAGAATAAGAAGCTGTTATTATTACAATGCACATCCATGAAATCATGCGAGGGTCCTGCCATTGGCAAATTACGACAAACAGCGTCCGCACCAGCCCTCGTCAGTCCTCAACACTAAAACCCCTCAACCCCTAAACCCTCAAACCCCTAAACCCTCAAACCCCTAAACGCTCAAACCTAAACCCCAAAACCACAAAACCCTATAAAC